GATCGGTGTTCCTGGGTATGCCGACACTGCGATCGGCGGCGTTCGTTCGCTTTTCGCGCGTTGTCGGCTGGTCCCTGTGAATTATATTTTTGTTTTTAAAAAAAGGTTCGGGCGCACCGCGCCCTCATCGCTGCGATGCAGCGGCGTCCGGCGGATGTAATGCCGGGTAAGATGCATTATTGGGGGTGCATCGTTACAAGGTAAAGAATTTGTCGCGCAATCAATGCAGAAATTTCTTAAAGAAAACGACATACATTTTCGAGTAACGCGCAACCCGGACATCAAAGCCGCTATAGTCGAACAGAACACTGAAAGAGCGAATGTGGCGTTATTTCACACATAGAAATACGCGACGATACATCGATGTTCTACAGGACATTGTGCACGATCACAATCACACGCATCACTCATCCACGAGAATGCAACCAGCGGTAACGAGACAAAACGCATGTATCGCTTGTGAAAATATAGCTCATCGTTGGAAAAACGACAAAACGTTAAAGAAACGGGTGCGAAAGGTTAAATATTGTGTCGGGGATCTCGTTCGCATCAGTAGAACGAAAGGTGCCTTCGAGAAAGGATACGAGGCTAACTGAAGCGAGGAGATATTTCGAATTTACCGTATTCTCGATTGGCGAAAACCGCACGTGTACGAATTGAGCGATTTGGCAGACGAAATCATAGACGGTATTTTTTATGAACAAGAATTAGTTCGAGTTGAGAAAAACTTACAAGAAGAACAGTTTATCGTCGAACGCGTGATAAAGAGTAAGGGGCGAGGAGGTAATAAGCAACTACTAGTTAGTTGGCGCGGTTATCCCAGCAAGTTTGATACTTGGATTCCGGCTTCAAGTTTAATTTCTCTTCGCGATGAAGGAGGAACAGTTTCTTCTGGTTCTTCCGAGTAACAGTAGTATGCGTCATTTTCCGAATAATACAACGTCGTCCTTCATCACGGAATTACCTCACTCGATAGCGTTGCAAGGACAATGAGAAGTTGCGTTAAGTAAGATTCAATTTCCCTGTACCTTTTTATACGTACGTCATAACGAGAATATGATCGGATTCGTCGATGTTAAACTGAAAAAGAACTTCTTTTACCGTAAACGGACCACTCGTCTCCTCATCGGGACGAGTCTCCTCGTCCGTTTATGGTAAAAGAAGTTGTATTTCCAAATGGAATTTACAGCGATATCCATGAACTTATTGAGGCGATTAATACCGCGTGTACAAATGTCAAATCGCATTTTTATTTTGAACAGCAAAAAGTGACTGGCGGCAAAATCTGTATAAGTGTTAACTGCGATGAGAAGTGTAAAATGCTACATCATATAAACTTTTCCGATAATTTTCTACGAATGTTAGGTTTCTCATCAGCCATTTCGAGTAAACATGCATTTTATTCCAAGCTCGCGATACGTAAACCTAATTCCAATGAAACACAAGAGAAAACTTTTCTTACGCATGGATTTAATAAGGAGACGGGACGACGACAAGTAGATGGTTTATGGTTATTGGAGTATCGAACACTGTAGTTTGTGGCGCTCTATCCCTGATAAAATGTTCATTTATTGCGATATTTGTGAGTCTTACATAACAGGTGATGTACGTACTCCTCTTCTCAGAGTAGTTCCAAATGAAATACGCAGTCATAATTATGCATTTGGTGCAAATTTAGTGAAGCATTTCTCATTTCCGAATTATATCCCATTGCGACGAACAAAGTTCAGAACGATTGAAATAGATATAAGAGATCATCTCGGAAAAAAAATTCCATTCGAATTCGGAACGCTGACAGTAATACTACACTTTAAACGTAAGCAATAACTTTCTTTCGTGTACGCGATCGTGTCGATATTGGTTTTAGTTGATAGAGTAGTCTTAGTTAGAAACTCACGATGGAATATGAGGAGTATTTTGATGCATGGGACACCGGTAACCGAGGTGGAATTCCACGTGTTTTCGCCCTACCAACGCGGACATGGAATCGATAGCTTTCTCGGTGGACTATTCAGAAAAATATTACCCTACCTAAATAAAGGTGCACGTGCTGTCGGGAAAGAAGCTTTGCATGCGGGAATTAACGTGATAGAAGACGTCGAAAATAATAAAACGTTGAAGGAAGCGGTCAAAAGTCGACTAGCAGAATCGCGGAGCAATCTTAAGAGAAAAGCCGAAGAAAAAATAAGTTCCCTGATGAGGGGATCGGGATATAAAATATCCGCGAAATCCGCAGCACTTCAGTTTCCATTCGGCGGTCGAGATAGTCATATCGTGCGTCGCAAACGACGTCGAATGATCAAGAAAAAAAATCATCGAGAAGTATCGCAGGAAAGAAGAACAAAAAAGTGACGAAAAAAAAAAGAAAATTCGTGCTGCAGGAAGAAAAACCAAAAAACCATTCAGTAGGAAACATCGAGTCAAGAAACGCGACGTATTAGACATATTCTCTTAATTGAGACAGGAATTCACGGAAGGGGGAGGAAAAGCATGTCCTTTTTTCATACTCACTCAAGCGAGTGTATAAAGAGCGAACTCGATCTCTTCTCTCTGCCTCCTACGCAAATCAGCATTAAGAGCTCGCATGGATTTATTACAAACCCGTAACTTCGCTCACGAACGATTCACCCACAGAATTCATTCCCGGACATGAAGAAGACTATCTGGATCTCACTCACACCATGTTGAGCCTTCGCATACGCGTAGAAAGCGATCGCGGGGAGAGCACATCGCTCGCACCTGACGACGCGGCAAAAGTAGGACCGTAAATCATTTACTGCATTCCATGTTCAACCAAATCGACGTATATTTCAATCAAAAGCTCGTGTCGCCGCCAAACAACGCTTACGCGTACCGCGCATACATCGAGGCGTTATTAAATTATGCTTCACCCACAAAAACTTCTCATCTAACTTCCTGCTTATAGGACGCGGATATCCCCGGATACATGGACGACACGTTAGGCGCGTCAACCTTAAATACGGCGCTCGAGAGACGCGCAAAATACATTCAGGGAAATCGCGCGCTAGATCTCATAGGTCACCTTCACTGCAACGTTTTCAATCAAGATAAATTTTTAATTAACGGAGTGGAAGTTAGAATGAGACTCGTACGCTCGAAAAATTCGTTTTGCCTTATGGAAAATAAAACGTTATCAAAAATACGCATTCTTTACCAGTCCACTCGTAAGAAGAACAAAAATAAGTCCTGGTGTGCTACTCACACATGCTAGAATGTTGAATAAAACTACCGCCAAGTATCCCCTTACGAAAGTCGAAGTTAAAACATTCACGATACACGCCGGCGTCGTGGGGGAATCGATAGACAATGCAATATTCGGACAGCTATCGTAACGAATAATAGTCGGTTTTGTCGATAACAAAGTGTTTAACGGTAATAGAAAATTGAACCCATTTAATTTCAAAAATTACGGAATAAATTTTTTTTCACTGTACGTCGATGGCATGCAAATTCCCAATAGACCGTTACAGCCAAATTTTTCGAAAGACGAGCCGCTCTAAGTTGAAGCTTATCACACATTATTCTCGGGAACCAGCATTCACATTCTGAACGAGGGTAATTCTATAACTAGAAACGATTACGGCAACGGTTACACTTTTTTTGCTTTCGATCTTACTCCAGACCTATCCGCTAATTGTACAGAACATTGGAATCTCGTGAAACAGAGCTTACGATTAGAAGTGAGATTCGAAAAAGCTCTTTCCGTGACTATTAATTGTATCGTCTATGCTGAGTTTGATAACGTTTTAGAAATCGACTCCTCGCGTCAAGTCATTGTCGACTTTTCCGGTTAACTCTACGTCTTTCGTGAGAAAATTATTTTCCCTCACTACACATTTTTTTTCTCATCTAATTGTACGCAAGACGATGAACAAAAGCTTCAGTCTTACTCGTGACACCGACGCAGACGTTTCGCGACGTAAAAAGAGTAGCGGATATTCGAATATCATAATGGATATATCTTCTGTCATTAAGATTGATGCCTTATGAAGCCAAACACAGGGTGTCAATGTATAATAATTTTTTATTTGTTACAAAAGTTTTGTACAAACGTTTCGATCCCGTTTCGAATCCTTTTCAATGCTATTGTACGAATTCATCGAGTTTCCTGACGCACTATCCTCTCTTAAAATTGGCGTGTTACGTGCCCTGAAGCCTCTTTTCGTTGAGGTTGTTAGAGTACTTCGTTTCCGTTGAAATGTCGTATCTAAAGGCTTTGGGGGTCGCCGATTTCGAATCCGGTCTCAAAATTTGAAAATTCAAAATGGTTAAATCAATATGGCGGATTGAAGTTTTTACCGAAAATGCTAAAAGTCTTCCGATTTTTGCGAAATGTAGTATTAAAAGATTTTCGGGGTCGCTGATGCCGAAACCGAACTTAAAATTTGAAAATTCAAAATGGCTGAACCAATATGGCGGATGGGATGCTAAAAATTCTTCGATTGCAGCGAAATGTAGTATTGGTGGGTTTTCGCTTTAGCTGATATCGAATCCGAATTTAAAATTTAAAAATTCAAAATGGCGGAACCAATATGGCGAACGGAAATGCTAAGTTTCCTGATTTCAGCGAAATGAAGCATTAGAAGATTTTCGGGATCGCTGATGCTGAATCCGAACCTAGAATTTAAAAATTCAAAATGGCGGAACCAATATGGCGGGCGGGAATGCTAAAAATTCTCCGATTGTAGCGAATTGAAGTATTAAAGGGTTTTCGCGGTTGCTGATGCCGAATCCAAACTTAGAATTTAAAAATTCAACCAATATGGCGGATGGGAATGCTAAAAATTCTTCGATTCCAACGAAATGTAGTATTGGAGGGTTTTCGCTTTCGCTAATATCAAATCCGAATTTAAAATTTAAAAATTCAAAATGGCGGAACCAATATAGCGGACGGAAATGCTAAGTTTCTTGATTTCAGCGAAATGAAACATTAGAAGGTTTTCGGGGTAGCTAATGCCGAATCCGAACTTAGAATTTGAAAATTCAAAATGGCTGAACCAATACGGCGGTCGGAAGTCTTTAAAATTCCTCGATTTTAATGAAATGTTCTATTAAAGAGTTTTCAATGACACTGATTTCGAACAATCTTTCCATTTCTATTTCTAATCTAAAATTAAAAAATTTTAAATATTTAACCAATTTGGCGAACAGCAATTCTATGTCGATTCTTATTTTAAGACCGTCTTAAGGGGGATCCTGGTTTAGAAGGTCAAAAAAAAGGTGTATTTAAATAATTTTTTTTATATGGATAGAAATAACTAGACTAGTTTAGCTTTTAGGGATACTTTAATACACATTTTAAATGTACCAAAAAATTTTTTTCGGGTAAAAAAGTCACAAAATGGCGGCGTCCCAGATTAAGTAGTAAAATGCTTTCTCGCTACTGGTGCTAATTGGCGGACAAGATGTAGCTCGTGTTTCTTATCTGGAATGAAATATTACAACGATTTTTAATTTATTATATATTTTTCTTCTATTTAAACTAAAAAAAATATAGAAAAACTCGAAAAATATACAATTTTTTCGTTTTGAAAGAAAAATGTGCATTTTTACGGTACGTACAATTATATTTGATGGACTCTAAAAATTGTTAAACAATTTTTTTTTACAAATGTTTTTAGTTTAACTTGAAGATAATTTTATTGTGAAAAGAATACACTTTGTTTTATTTTGATTGCTCTTATAGTTTTCGTGTTATCGTGCTCGCCAATTATGTTAAAACGTAAAAATAAAAATTGGAGAAAACGCGTTTCAAAGTTTTCAGTAAGAAAGTCTTAAATTATTGGATACTTACATAGGTTAAAAATACGTCGAATTAGCCCGTATAACTTTCGGAACTTATTCTTGAATAGTTTATCTATCGATTTATGCAATAAAACAAAAATAGATTTTTTTGACCTTCTAAACCAGGATCTCCCCTTAAGTAATCTCCTAAAACGCTAATGTGGTCCTCGCTATATGTAAGGAAACAAGTCTTTTTCGGGTGACGTAATGAACAATAATATTATAATATCATTTTTTGACCGATAAATTAGAGCCTTATATCGGTCGAAGTTAGATGCCAAAATGCTTAAATAATTATTACAGTTTTTTGGGATGCACGTGGCATAATTCATATCGATTACCTTCCGTCGAAGCAAACAATCAATGGCGATTATATTCAGCCTTATTGGTAGAAGTACAAGGGTATGCTCATGCGCATGGACAGTCAAGGCTCTGTTCTTCATTACGTCACAAGGAGCGACAAATTTGAAGCAAAAAGATTTGACAATAGTAATTTGATAGTAATTTAATAGTAATTTAATAATAAATTGACAATAGTAATTCTTAAAGCATTTTTGGTTAAATAATATGTAAATATATAATATGACATGTGATAATAACTTTCAACTCTGCTTGGAAAAATATCTGAAAGTATTATAATAGTTATATATATATTGCATTTGACATAAGAATTAAAATAATTAAAAGATACACTCGTAAATCAAAATCATTACTTTTATAATATTTATTATAACCAAAATGATATTTATTAAAAGCGTTTTTTTCAAACGTAAAACAAAAAAAAGGAAGCAACATGTACCGTGGTTACATTAGCGTTCGATAAAAAATAATTGTATTATAAAATTGTTTATGGTATTTAACTAACGAATTCCATTCGCCATAGTGATTCACTTTGAATTTTCAAATTTTCAATCCGCCATAACGATGAGGTCAGTTTTCTAATGCAAACATTTAGAATATAAATTCGTAATAATATATTTCATAATGTCTAAAAAGGAGAGTATAATGGAACAGCGCGCGCGGAGCGCACGCAGGGAATGTGCTAGTATCGTAAACATTTTCTTATTAATCTCACGAATTATAATTAAAAGTTTACAATAAGATAAATAATATAAATGATATAATATTATAGATAAATTTACACAGTTCAAACAAAGAATAAACTTACATGATATTCGTGCTAATATATTATGCTAATATAATGCGTGTCATCTACAGGGTCCGTCACTTAAATCCGGACATAAAATATTTTTCTCAAAAAAGTCGTTTATTACAGAAAATATGAAAAAGTACAAATAGACTACTTTATAGTTAGGTTAAGTGATCTTTTCTGAGACATTTTACTCAATGTATCCGCCCTGCGCCTCGATCACCGCTTCAATCCTGTTCCGAAAGCGCGAGCATGCCCTCTGCAATTGCGCACGATCCATTTTCATGAATGCCGCTTCAATAGCGGCTTGGAGGGAGGCTACATTGGGGTGTCTGGCTTTGTTAATAACCCTCTCGACTACGCCCCACACGTAGTAGTCGAGAGGATTCAGATCGGGACTATTCGGAGGCCAGAAATCCTTCACGAGCAAATTGCAGCGGGCAAGTCTCTTGGCCTTGGCGGCCTCGGAGAGCATCTGTCGGACCTTGAGGACGTAGGACTTGTATCTGAGGTCCTCTTGGACAATCCGACGAACAGTGGTGTCGCTCATCCCCAAGATGGCCGCTAATTTTGCGAGTGAAACTCTTGAGTCCTTCGAAATGAGGTCTTGTGCTCTTTTAACGAGTTCCGGAGTCAGTATCGCCTTCTCCCTTACATGTATTTTTCTCGCCGGAGTACAAGAACCCTCCTCGGACTCCTCCGAGGCTGCGTATCTCTGAACAATATCATACACCGTTGACCTGGGGTATCCGAAGAACTTAACAATTTCGCTTGGCGTCCTTTCGGCGCGGACACCTTTAATAACCGCCGTTCTTCGGTTATATTCCGACGTCTTCCTGAACGACTCGGCCATTTTGAGGTTATTAATGTCTTATCGACGTCTCTAACCTATCTTTAGGTCATGTGACACCTACTGCTGCATTCTAATATGGTGGGAATGTCAAATTCAAATTTGTCCGGATATAAGTAACGGACCTGTATATCAGCTTTGAGATACATCTAAACAATATAATGTCAAGTACAATTAGAAACTACACGAACGCAAAAAAACAAAAACATTAAAGAGAGGACATTAATATAACAGCGATGACATATTTGGAAAAAAAATATGACATATTAGAACCTAATGGTGATTGGTTTGTGAATCTGAGCGGTGTTTGCATTCCATATGAAGTGCAGGCGTTGCTACAACTGGGAGATAAATTTTGCTTACCGTTACGCAATGTCCAGACAGCCACCATCAACCTCATTAAGAACATTGAACATAATTTTCAAAGAATAAAAATACCTAACATTACAGAATTAAGAAACAAAATTATACCGTTGATGAAGAACATCACATTAAATAAAACACAGATGGAAAAAAAGATTTGGTCTTTATACCTATTAACAAAAAAATTTATTAACAACAATCCGGATATTTTATTTATGCGGATAAAGGTAACGTGGTGGTTGCAATGGACAAGGCGGAATATATAGTGAAGATGGAGACGATGCTTAGAGACGTTGACACTTATATAAATATTAAACGTAACCCGGTCAATAGAATAATAATCAGTCTAAAGGATATTTTGAAGAGATGGAAACGAGAGGAAATAATTAGTGAGTCTAAATACAGACATCTTAACACTGCAAACCCAATTTTATCAAGAGTGTATGGAATGCGTAAAGTATGGAATTCCCATGGGCTCCCCTTTATCACCAGTATTGGCAGACATAGTTTTACAGGACTTAGAAACATTTACTTTTAATAGATTGACAACAGAACCTTCTTTTTACATACGATACGTAGACGACATTGCATTAGCAATTAACAAAACACACATTAACGAACTCTGTCTTACATTCAACAACTATCATCCACGACTCAAATTTACATTGGAGGAAAGTGGTGACAAACTAAATTTTCTGGACCTAACTCTTATAAAGAAAAATAACTCCATATATCATGACTGATATCAGAAACCTACGTCATCAGGACGTTATCTCAATTTTTTTTCGCAACATCCACTTTGCCAGAAAATTGGAGTAATAGTGAGCTTAACAGATAGAGTCTTATTATTGTACGAAAAACTTAGATAAAATAATCAGAATATTACTGAACAATGGCTATCCTTTGAATTTGATTTTCTCCACCATAAATAAAAGATTACACAAGAAATTTTCTAATCAGAACAATCAAATAGCTAATGATAAAAAAGTAGAAAAGAAATAAATCTTCTTCACGGTGCCTTTTATAGCGGGTATTTCAGAGAGAATCAAAAACTTTTTAAAGAAGACTAACATCATCAAAATAGCTTACAAGGGTATTAACAAATTGAACAACTACATTAGAGTGCAGAAAGACAAACTTCCACATTTTATGCAAACTGATGTTGTTTATAAGGTGGAGTGCAGAGACTGTGACGCTTCATATGTCGGTCAACAGGAAGGACTCTTAAAATCAGAATTAGCGAACATAGAACCACATCAATAGAAATACAGACCAAAAATCGATCATCACAGAACATAGATTAGAACATACACATGATTTTGACTGGGACAGTGTCAAGATTTTAGATCAGGAACAAATTTTAAATAAAAGACTAATATCAGATATGATTTTCATACGTAATCAAAAAAACGGCTTAAATATCCAATCAGACACAGATTCGTTAACTAAGGCATATGATTTCCTATTTGATAATAACTGAGGTTTTCTCTCTTTAATGTTTTTGTTTGTTTGCGTTCGTGTAGTTTCGAGTACTTGACATTATATTGTTTACATGTATCTCAAAGCTGATATAGATGACACGCATTATATTAGCATAATATATATTAACACGAATATCATGTAAGTTTATTCTTTGTTTGAACTATGTAAATTTATCTATTATATCATTTATCTTATTGTAAACTTTCAATTATAATTCGTGAGATTAATGAGAAAATGTTTACGATATAGTGCGTCAGGAAACTCGATGAATTCGTACAATAGCATTGAAAAGGATCCGAAACGGGATCGAAACGTTTGTACAAAAACTTTGGAACAAATAAAAAATTATTACACATTGACACCCTGTGTTTGGTTTCATAAGGCATCAATCTTAATGACAGAAGATTCATCTGTAACGAGCCGATCAACATAGAATTACGATTATATATTATAATTCTTAGCTTGCACGCTCGCGCAATAAAAACAGTATAGATTGTAAATAAATAAAAACAGTGTTATTATTTGCGCCAACTATATTTGTACAATGATAACTGTAATAAAAAAATAGCACTTAGATCTTATCCTTCTTCAAAATGGATTTTTTAATTCTTTTTATTATTATGATTTACATGGGTAAAAGAACTTGTGCGCAATAAGATTTTATTAAAAACAAAATATTTACAATAAGAGCAATAAGAGCAAGAAATAATAATCAATAATAAATAATAAGTAATAAATAAATAAGTAATAATAAAATAATAAATAATGATAATAATATAAGTAATATAATATACTAAACTACTACTACTGAAATAATATCACAATTAAATTTTGATGTTCAATAGGCATCTATTAAAGACATCTTATACAATAGGTGAATCAAGTAAGACATCAGTTGTGATGTTGCAGTTTGCTGCAGCTTCGCAGCGACCCTTCGCCGTCACAAAGCGGGTCACTGACTCGAGCCGGGACACGCGAGCGAGCGAAATCTCCAGAGGGCCGTGTGTTAGCGTTAAGTTATTTTTCTAATCCCCGGCGAATTTCTTCCTTATGTAACCATTGCGGGAGTCTCGCCGAGCGAAGAACAATACAATAGGTGAATCAAGTAAGGCATCAGTTGTGACGTTGCAGTTTGCTGCAGCTTCGCAGCGACCCTTCGCCGTCACAAAGCGGGTCACTGACTCGAGCCGGGACACGCGAGCGAGCGAAATCTCCAGAGGGCCGTGTGTTAGCGTTAAGTTATTTTTCTAATCCCCGGCGAATTTCTTCCTTATGTAACCATTGCGGGAGTCTCGCCGAGCGAAGAAACCACAGGAGGGAAGACAACCACGGAAAAATCCCGCGGGCCGGAGACAAGCGGAGCGGAGCCGGCGAGCGCTTCCAACCAGGGGAAGGAAGCATAGCTACCGCCGTCGAAGGATTTGGTGGCGCCCGAGCCCCCGGATAGTGCGAGGGGCGCACGACTTGCAGGAGAGGATCG